GATCCCAGCCAGTATCTCACACCGACCTGGTACATTTGCAAAACCCGCTTAGGAGAATTAACCACATCTGAGGCAAACAGATAATGTGCTAAGAGTTTTATCTTCTTCTGGATTTCTCCAGCATCATTTGGTTCCTCACCAAGGTGAAGTTTGTAGGGGGAAGGAAAAATAATTTTCCTTCTACTCTTCTAGGTTCTTGGCTGAGACACACCTGTAATAAAAAGACAGATTAACAGAAGAAAAATAGAATTTAATAACATGTATACCTCCTGTATACCCGGGAGATACCAAGGAAAACTGAGTAACTCCCCAAAATGGCCTAAGCCATCCCCTTAAATAACAGCTCCAGCTAAAGACTAGAAGATGTTGGGGGATGGGGAGGCCAGTTATGAGAAGTTACCCTGAAAAGCCCAGTAAACAAGGGTAAGGTGGTTATGCAGATTTAAATCCATGCCTTCTCCACTGATAAATTTCTAGAGATTTAGAGTCAGATTTAGTTTCCCTGGTATACAGAGAGACACCTTTACAAATGGAGATGTCCCTTATAAATGTAAATTGTTCTGATAAAAGAGTAACTGTTACTTGGTGTTTAGAACTTCTATCTGCAGTTTCTTAAAAATAATCAGCTCAAGGTAATCTTTATGTCAAAGAGCCATATTTTGGGGTGACATATTTTGCTCCCGTACATTTGCATCTTTGAGACTTGAGTCTCTCCATGTGTTGTCAAGGGGCAGATTGTGGACAGTTTGTCCTAAATCCAATGGTTGTATATGGCATTGATTTGAACAGTGACTTTTCAAAGAAACAACGTGATTCAGGAAGCCAAGAAACAACAGCACTTCAGAATTCATGGCACCAACGGAATGATTATTATTTAAGCCACCATTAATAGGGACGGCAGATACACTAAGGAGTTGAGCTACTGGGGGGATAGCTGGGGTGGATATGGTTTCCCGACTCTTCTTTGTGGTGTGGGGAGGAAAAAGTTTTCCTCTGCCTTCTTTGGGTCCCTGGCTGGGTCTGAAAATTAAACTGATAAAGACAGAGTAACAGGAGAAAAGGATATAAATTGATTTAATACAAGTTTTATGTGACACGAGAACTTTCATAAGGAAATAAAGACCTGAAGAAACAGACCTCCAGCTATAGGGAAGGCACTTCTCTCAGGAGGATTTTGTGACCAGTTTCAGGGAAGAAGGGCAAGGGAGGGAGATCAGAATGACCTTCCTGCTCCTGCTGTTTTCTCAGACTCCTTCAGCTTAAAATACTCACTCTGCCAAGGTGCCACTTTTGGGATAGTGTGTCCTGAATCCCATCAGTGTTTTGGAGCTTTCCTAATGTCATTACCAATGCAACTATTTCAATGAAGGCAAGTCACAGGAAGAAAGTAATGCAAAAATTTTTTAAGATTTTATTTATTTGAGGGCGCCTGGGTGGCTCAGTTGGTTAAGCGACTGCCTTCCGCTCAGGTCATGATCCTGGAGTCCCTGGATCGAGTCCCGCTTCGGGCCCCCTGCTCGGCAGGGAGTCTGCTTCGTCCTCTGACCCTATCCCCTCTCATGTGTTCTCTCTCTCTCAAATAAATAAATAAAATCTTTTAAAAAAAAGATTTCATTTATTTGAGAGAGAGAGAGCACAAGCAGGGGGAGCGGCAGAGCGAGAGAGAGAACCAGATTCCTCTGCTGAGCAGGGAGCCCGATGCAGGACCGGATCACAGGACCCTGGGATCATGACCTGAGCGGAAGGCAGATGCTTAAGCGACTGAGCCACCCAGGCGCCCTAATGTTACCATATCATTACATTGTCCTGCATCTAAATGTTGTTTAAAAATATACTAATATATACTACTAATAATATACTAAAAACTAATGTAGTCAGCTTTCTACATTTAATGAACAGTTTAACAATTTAGAGCACGTGATATTAGGCTTACAAAGCAACTGTGCAGACTTCAAAGCACAATTCAAATATAATATGCATCTCGTTATATTTGGGAGCAAGTGCAAGTAATGGACTACTTCAATTTCCTTTCTGCATTGCAGATGCGGAACCCACACTAAGGCTGGGTTAACTGAAGTCACGACCTGATCATCTCCCCTCCCCACCAGGATGGCCGGGAGGCCTTCAGCCTCCGTCCCTGCCCCACATAGACGTCCAGCGCGACGGAAACCCCCTGCATAAATGCTGGGGTGGGGGTCACTGACGCATGTCTCCAACTCAGTTGCGAGGCCCGCCCACAGGCGACGAGCGAGGGAATAGCCAGCCGTCAGGCCGCTCCCAGGCGGCGGAGACTGGAACCCCGCTGTCAGTCCGCGCGCGGCGCCCCACGGGAGCCCGGATCCGCGCCGTCCGTCCGAGGAGCGCGGCGCCCCCTGTCGTCCGCCCGAGGAGCGCGCCGCTGGCTCGCGGGAAGCCGGGAACATGGCGGGGCGGCCTGTGGCCCCGGCCTCGCAGCCGCCGGACCGGGATGCAGCGGCGCCCAATGTGGTGGCGCGGGTCTCGCAGTGGGCGGACGACCACCTGCGCCTCGTCCGGGTACCGGAGACCCGCTGGCCGGGCAGGCGGTTGGCCTGGGGCCGCGCGGAGCGAGCCTGAGGGAGACGGGCTGCGGGAAGCCCCGCGCAGTGGAACCGCTGGGGCCCGGGCGGGGCGGAGGGCCTTGTCGCAGGGCCTTGTCGCAGGGGTCAGCGAGTGAGGGGCGGCGGTGGGAGGAGTGCGGCCGGGCTGGGCTCGCTGCGTGAGATGGGCGCGGCGGTCCAAGGAGGCCAGCTCTGCCTAGTTACTGCCAGGACCGTGGTGGGTCCCGGGGACACCTCAGAGACTGAGACGCAGCACAGCTTGGGGCGTCAGCGGCCCCCGAGAGCAGTTGGGGACGGCGAGGCACAGAAGACCAAGGGGGGG